ATTTTGGGACACTTAGTCCCTAAATGAGAGCTTAAGTGTGGAAAAGTGGTCCGTAGTCAGAACAGTGTGAAGACGACCTCGGAATGGAAATTCGATGGTCCTGCTAGCTCCGTTTGGTGATTTCGGGGTTGGGAGCGTGTTCAGAATGTATTTTGGAAGTCCGTAGCTCTTTTAGGCTTGAAATGCCGAAGGTTGAATTTTTAAAGTTTCCGGTCCGATAGTGAATTTTTGACCCCGAGGGCCGGAATGGAATTCCGGAAGTTGCAGTAGCTGCGTCGTGTCATTTGGGATGTGTGTGCAAAATTTTAGGTCATTCGGACGTGTTTTGGTTGGGTTTTTGATCGAAAATGTATTTTGATGGAATTTGAAGTTCTTAGGCTCAAATCCTTGAATTAATCGAGTTTCCAACGTTGTTTTAGGTGGTTTAAGGATTGGTACAAGTTTGAATGAGGTATTAGGTGTTATGGGTGCTTTTGGTTGAGGTCCCAGGGGCCTCGGGATAATTTCGGGTGGTTAACGCAAGAACTTTTGAAGTGTTGCAGCAGCTGAACCATTGCTGCTTCTGGTATTTTTGCACCTGCGGCTTGGGAACCGCAGATGCGGCGCCGCAGAGGCGGCTAAATGGCCGCAGAAGCGGTTTTGCTCCTTTCCCTCAAAAACTGCAGAAGCGGTGCTTTTCCCGCATAAGCGGAGCCGCAGAAGCGGTGCTTTTCCCGCAGAAGCGGCTCAGGCATCGCAGATGCGGCTCCAGCATTTCGTTAGTTTCCGTAGAAGCGGATTGTCCCTCGCAGATGCGCTTCCGCACCTGCGGCTAATTTCTCGCAGATGCGGTCCTGGCCATTTAATTGTAGACCGCAAAAGCGGCTTGTTTCCGCATAAGCGGTCCCTTGTCCGCAGAAGCGGAAATACTTGAGCAGATATAGAAATTTCGAGAGTTTGATTTCATAAGTTAGAAAAATCAATTTGAGCTCGGGTAAGGGCGATTTTCAGAGGGTTTTGAAGAGGAGATTATTGGGTAACGTTTATTTAATCCCTTCTCGTTATATTTCATCATTTTGTAGTTAAATCCATCATTAAAATTCGAATTTGGGATCAAAATTGGAAGAATTTGGGGTAAAACTTCATAGGCTAAACCATTGAATTTTGAGTGGGCATTTGACCTCCGATTTGGGAGATATTTATATGGTTAGACTCGTGAGAGTACGGGGGTTCTGAAATGTGAAAATTATTTGATTCCGAGGCATTGGCCTGAAGGGCATTTTGGTCATTTCACCTAATTTCACATCGTAGCTTTGAATTAAATAGCAAAACCAGTTGCTTGCAATGTTATTTACAATGTGTAATTGAATTGAATAGATTTGGGCCATTTGGAGTCGGATACTCGTGGCAAGGGCGTGGTTTCCAGCTGATATTGAGCCGGTTCGAGGTAAGTGGCTTGTCTAACCTTGTGTGGGGGACCTTTCCCCTTAGGATTTTGTTATTTGGTATTTGAGAGCCTTGTACGTGAGGTGACGAGCGCGTACTTGAGCCAATTGTTGAAAATCCGATTTTTACTTAAGATATTGCGATTGAGTTCCCTTCATATTTGCTTTATTCTACTTGCAATTATAGCCTGTGCTAGATTAGGAAAGCATGTTTAGTTGATTTAACTTGTCTAATTGCTTAAGTTGCCTTAACTGTACTACGTGAAGCATGCTAGGCCAGTACTAACTGTTGCTTGTCTTTTGTACTTTATTTCTGTGAACATTCTGGTTATGGTTGCGCTTTTATATTGGGACTACGGATCTGGGATTCCGGTAGCTCCCCCCCTTGTCTGTTTACTTTGGGACTACGGGTTCAATTCCAGGTAGATCCCCCTGCACTTTTACTTTGGGACTGCGGGTTAGATTCCCGATAGATCCCCCCTGCACTTTTACTTTGGGACTGCGGGTTAGATTCCCGATAGATCCCCCTGCACATTGATGATTGGACTACGGGATGGTATCCCGGGAGATCCTTCGGATTTACATATATGATGGGCTACGGGACGATATTCCAGGGACCCACTGGACAGTTGAAAAGGAAAGGACTACAGGACGGTACCCTGGGAGATCCTCTTGTTATCATTGGTATTGAGCGGTACATATTCTGTGTTTACTCTGTTTCCTTGTGTAGATGTTATCGTCTTACTTGACCTGTCTTATCTCACTGGTGTACTCATTATTTCTGTCAGATTTTCATACTGTTGATTATTATTATATTTTACCTCAGTAGGGCCCTGACCTTCCTCGTCACTACCCAACCGAGGTTAGGCTTGGCACTTACTGAGTACCGCTGTGGTGTACTCATGCCCTTCCTGCGCATGTTTTTCATATGCAGATCCAGGTACCTCTTCTCAGGCGCACTATCCTTGAGGCGAGGATATACACGGAGACATCGAGGTATATCTGCCGCGTCCGCAGACCAGGTGTCTCTATTCTGTTCCAGCTTTAGTATTTAGTTTATCCCTTTCCTCTCAGTTGTTTAGATATTCAGGAGTTAGAGCAGCGTACTATGTTTCTGTTAGCCTGTGGTTCCCGTGAGTTTCCGGGTTTTGGGATTGAGTTGTAGACTTCCGCATTTTTTTTAAGTTGTATAGGCCGAGCGGCCTTATATGCAGTTATTATTTTTTAATATGTTTAGCTTTATTTAACCATTTCGCTAGTTAAGTTGTTATTTCCGCATCGATAGGCTTACCTAGTTGTAGGAACTAGGTGTCATCACGACATGTTCATGGAGGGTGAACTGGGGTCGTGACATCCGGATACATGGTTATATTCTTGAACAGAGAAAGAAGGTTTGATCTTCAAAACATGTAAGAGCAGATTAATAAAAATATAATAAATATATTCTACTTTTGCGATAGTGATTCATTTTTTATAATCGTTTGGAAATAATTACTAGAGTACTTTTTTATTAATAAAAAATAGTACAATTTTATGAGGAAAAATAAAAAAGATTATCTTTTGTTAGTTGTTAACCGGGTTTGTGTCTTCTAGAATGAACTTAAGAATATATAGCTTTCCAACAAAAATTTAGAAAAAACTCTTAAATCTCAAGGATGTGTATTCAAAATTTAAAATAATGTTAATCATAAAACAGGGTAATATTTAAGTTGAGTATATAGTGTCTAAGATGATTGATGACTTCTTATGAGATTGAGTTTCTTACTATTATCAGAGTTATCTAAATATGTTCAACAATCATTACTTTTAGGAGTTTATTTATTTTTTATTTAACTTCTATCATATACAATATTTTTAGGAGTTTTTAAAAAAAAAAATCAATTTATTGAGACAGGGTACCCATAAACTAGTCTATATCTATATTATATTAAAAGCACGAATGTCCTTAGCGAAATGTCGTTCGTCTTTTTTACCTTTTAAAAGTAGTTTTTATATTAAACAAAATTATAATTTAATTATTCTCCTAATATGTAGGATTGTAAAATCAAATAAAATTTTGATTATTAAATTTTTCCTTATTTTATCTATGTAAATACTCATAATAATATTTAGAACTATTAAAATTTACTATAAATAAACAACTTTGACTTTTCTAGATCCTTCTTCCCGTTAAAAACGTACTCCTAAATTTAAGGGAAAAAACTAATTTGAATTAAATTATAATTCCTTCAAAATGCACTAACAACCAAGCGGTAGCAAATGGCCTCTAACAATTTTTTTTTATTAATTTGATTTCTTTGAAATAATTTTTTAGAAAATAAATGTCCTAAATGTAAATAGAAAAGAAAATTGTCTTTTTAAGAAGGAGCATAGTTTTCTTTTGAGTATTTAGCAATTCCAAATTTATATATAAAAGAAATGTAAAATAAATTATAAAATTCACTTTGATTTACACGGTTAAAAGAAAAATAGAATATTCGTAAATTATAATATAAATAATAAAAGGTAATACCCTGAATTTCCTACCATAAATAAATGAGAAAAATAGTTTTCAAGAAGGAATTAAATTGCCTTTAATTTCTAAAATCTAGGTTAAATAAAGGAGAAAAATATCTTTTCAAGAAGGGATCAATATTTGCAATTCCAAATTTCTATAACTTTGCTATTTATCAAACAAAAACTTATGAATTGTTTATTTGCCTTTTTAATTACTCCTAACATTTTGGTTTTTAAGAATGTTATATTTTTATATTGAACATATAATTTAACTTTTTTTTTTTTTTTTTGGGAAAGTGCCAAATTCATATAATTCAATGTAAGAAACGAAGCATCCTTGCTTTTTATTAAATTATAGTTAATGTGCCTTTGTCTCCAAAAGCAAAAAAATTATAACACAAACAACTATTTATGGATGAACATATTTTTTGTAACATTGATAGATCATATTACCCTTCAATAATGTACTATTTCTTCAAAATATTATAGATACAAGATTATAAAATTATTTAATAATGATATAGGTAAAACTATAGTATATTCAAGGTTTCTTATATAATTGTGATATCCTCTTTATTGTTTATTTTTTTTTATAGAATAATACATGTTACATTCAGCTTAATTTTTTAAGTTGTTTTCTATAAAGAAGCTTAGAGGTTATAGACTTACTTATATACTGTCGTGAGTTATGCTAATACAAATTAACATATTGTGCTTATTATAAGCTTTTAAACTAAATGCAAAGTCCATATATCGAAATTCAATAAGATATATCAGGACTTTGTGAGGTGACGTTTCTTTTCTTATAGAATTAGTTAAACTAATTAACATTCATAATTTTAGGAAGTTAACTATTTCCTTTAGTTTAAATTCTGTATCAAGATATTTTTAATAATATTTGTGTGATTTTTATAAAGATTTTGATAGTACACGCGCAACGCCCATACATTAAAACTAGTAAAATAAAAAGTATAAGCTAAACTAGGATCACACACGGAAAGAACGAAATAATACCTGTCACATTATAAACTTCATTCTTGACTACGAAATAAGAAACATTGAATGTGGTGAGAAATCAAACCAATAATTCACGGATCCACTCTTACCACTAACACACATGCAATTCCAGTGGCCTAATAAATCAAACACAAAGCAAAGATACAAAACACGACACTCAGCTAAAAAGAACATAAAATATTACAAAGTCATGATTCTTCGAAGTGTAATCTCTTCACACCAACCTTATTCTCGCTCGCTAACACACATGACACTTCTATCCCCAACTCCATCCCATTTTCATATGCCTCAAAATTCCCCCAAAAACAAAAACGTCGCCGTTATCGGTGCAGGTTCCGCGGGCCTCGTTACAGCCCGAGAACTCCAACGAGAAGGTCACAGTGTCGTTGTATTTGAACGAGAAAATCAATTAGGTGGCACATGGGTTTACACGCCCGCCACAGAATCCGACCCGATTGGGATCGACACGAACCGGGAAATCGTTCACTCAAGTCTCTATTCATCTCTTCGTGTTAACCTTCCTCGGGAAGTAATGGGTTATCGGGATTACCCGTTTGTGGCAAAGAAAAAGCCTAATAGAGACCCGAGGAGGTATCCTGGTCATAAAGAAGTGTTCGATTATTTGGAGGATTTTGCGGTTGATTTTGGGCTTACTGGACTTGTGAGGTTTGGGATGGAAGTGGGCCATGTGGGATTATTGGAGAATGGAAAATGGAAGGTTAGTTCTAAAAAGAGAGAGAATGATGTTGTGTTTGTTCATGAGGAATATGATGCTGTAGTTATATGCAATGGACATTATACTGAACCAAGAACTGCTGATATTCCTGGTAAAAATTTGATCTTTAGCTCTTTCTAGTTTGAACAGAGTAAGTACTATTTTCTTTTGGTTGCTTTTAAATTTGTGGTGGTTGTAGATTCTTTGATATAATAAGTCAAATGATGATGAAATTGTCTGCTCGTAACTGAGTTTCTTATGAATATTTCAAGTATTTGGTAATCCAATTATATTCTGATCTTTAACTCTTCACATTTGAATAGAATATTGGAGTATCTCATTTAGTCACGTTTCAATTTGTGGTAATGGTAGATTCTTTAGCTTATATTCAATGTTTCTGATGAAGTCTTTGTAAATAAAGTTTGGTATGAATATTTCAAGTATTTGGTAATCGAACTGTACTAGCCATTAGCCAAGTTGATTTGTACATTGAGCTAACAGTTCCATCCTGTTTTACTAGTGGTGGCCGATCAAAGTTAATCTTTTTGAGCGTCAGCATTATGTGCATGCTGTTTGTCAAGGTTTTCTTAGGAAATTTTGGTTTCCCATCTGTATTGAAATGTTTTTTCCTTTTCTCTTTCTGTTGTTGAGGCAGTGTCACAATGAATAGTGAATATTGTACGATAAAAGATTAGCCTTTTTAAGCTTCCATTATTTATTTATTCAGACATAATTTTTGTTTGGTCATGAGACACGCATATGATAAGTAATTTTTTTTTGGTTAATTGTTATGGTTTGCATGTTGCAAGCAGTTGTTTTTTGAGTTGGCACTTCTATTCTGTTTTTCTCCTTATTCAAGATGACCTTATGAGATAGCAGTAAAGTATTGTAGAATTTCAAGTTCAAAGTTTGCCTGAGGTTTACTTTCTTTTCTTTTTTCATTTTAACATCATTATATGTCATTATTATATTAGTTGCTTTGAGACTATTTGTGAGTTGTCATTATTATTTGACATGCTATGTCAATATGCAGTTTTTGAGGTTTCTAACTGGAGGCCTTTAGCCTTTCAGGAATAAAAGTCTGGCCCGGAAAGCAAATTCACAGCCACAATTACCGTGTTCCTGATCCTTTTCGAGACCAAGTATGTGTCAGGTTCATTGTTTCTTTAAGATGTTAATGTTTCTGAGTTAGTACTGTGGCTGCGTGGCTGAAATGCTTGCAGTAATTTCGATTATGAATTTCTTGGAAATTTCGACAATCGTATCCTCCCTCCAGCAAATAAGGTGGAGTGGGCAAGGCAGAGAAGACAGGAAATATGATATTCTATTACATGAGATTTCCGGCTACACATAATAGACTGTTGAACCTGAACATCTTTTGACAATTCTATAATTTAAGTGTTACTTTTGCATGAAGCACTGGACATATGAAGGATGACACTACAAACACCGATAACCTTTTAATTTAATCGACCTGTTTGTTTATAAATTAATATTAATGCTTAGAAGCTATAGTGGTCCTTTTTTCATGAAGCTGTTTAGATATATGGTAGACTATACGGAAAGTGAACATACTTGTATGCTCATTCGAGCCTAGTCGTGACATGGGATAAATGCTCCCTGGTTGTATCAGCTTCCATGCTTTGACTAATATATTGCAAAGAAAAAATATCATCTTATTGCCAGATCATATGACATTTCTACATTTTGGTACCATATTCAGAGTATATCATATATGATAAATGGTTTGACAGGTTGTTGTGCTGATAGGGAGTGCTGCAAGTGCTACTGATATCTCCAGAGAAATCGCTGAAGTTGCTAAAGAGGTCCACATTTCTTCTAGATCAGCTACAAGTGGAGTTCCGCTGAAGCTGCCTGGCTATGATAATGTTTGGCAACATTCTATGGTAAAATTGTTTTTTTCATGTATATTTATGTGGTTTTTATCAACACGAGATGCTGAATCTTCAGTTGTCTAAATGATGCAGATTGAATCTGTTGGTATCGATGGTGGTGTGAATTTTCGAGACGGGTCCAAAGTCCTTGCCGACATCATCCTACACTGCACAGGGTGAGTGATTAGTCCTGTTGAAACTTTCCTTTTCATCCCCAGGTTAAAGAAAGCAAAAGGAAGGTGACGGCGATAGCCTGTTCTTTTTCTTTTCAGGAAAAATGAAAGGGTAATACACTTCTGTTTTTCCTAGGTTCATATAATGATATAAATGGCGAGGTGAACTGACCTTGTAAAAAACAAAAGAATGGTGAGGTCAAGAGATAATCAATAAGGAAGTGAGATGATTGGGGTAGACTATGGATCCAAAGGTTAGAAACAGTAAATAAAGTAGTTGATCTGCTCTTGAGTAGCCCAGTCTCAAAATAAAGCATGTACTCTTTAATACCTTAAACTTTAAGTTTTTTTTAAAAAAAAAAGAAAACCTTAAGCTTAAAAGAATGTTAATCAATATTTTCATAGGGAAGAAACCAAGAATTATTACCATGTTAACCATAAGGCTGCATGGTTCTAATTGTTCTTGCCTTTTTTAAACCCTTTTTTCTTATTTTGGGGACGCTGTATATTATTGAAAATATAGTCTATAGAAAGGTAAAAGCCAGATTTGGTGAGATATTGTGAGTTTGGCGAAAGGACAGAAAACTTCTCTGTTTTTGTAAAGAAAAGTTATTTTTCAACTAAATGAATATTATTTATGTGAGTTTGGTAGTACAGACCTCCTAATTCACCTTGAGAGATCTCTAACTTTGCTTTTATAATGAGAATAATTGCTATTAATCTTACAAGATAGTCAAATTGATGGGAGGATGAAGTATTCAAGAAAGTTGCTTATCTATGTTTCCTAGGTACAAGTATCATTTTCCTTTCCTTGAAACTAATGGGCTAGTAACTGTGGACGACAACCGGGTTGGGCCACTTTACAAACACATTTTTCCACCAGCCTTTGCTCCAAGTCTTTCATTTGTTGGGCTGCCTTGGAAGGTAAAATTAAGAGATTCTGTGCTTGGGTTTATCAATTTGCATTTTAAATGGCGGACATGAACAAAGTATTTGTCTGTGGTTGGCACCAGGTTATACCATTCCCCTTGTGTGAATTGCAAAGCAAGTGGATTGCTGGTGTTTTATCTGGTCGCATTTCTCTTCCATCAAAGGAAGATATGAATGCTGATATTGAGGCTTTTTACTCATTCATGGAAGCCGCTTGCATTCCAAAGCGGTACACTCACAGTATGGATGATTATCAGGTATAACATCTGCCAAAACTTGTCGAATGGTTGAAGGTTTCTATTTCTGTTCTATGTGTCGTCTCCTTTTCCTTTCCTTTTATACTTCATGCCTATTCTTAACATACAAAAGTTCTAGGCTACACCACCTTAGTTAATTTGGAAACGAAAAAGAGAAGAAATGAAACTGAAGAACTAGAGAGTAGTAAGCTTCTGTCATTATGAGCAAATGCAAGTGGTTGGTCATACGAAAATCCATGCAGAGTTGGCTTGTCATCGTTCTTTAGCACATTTACATCCAAGTTATCTTTTTATAGGATATGAATCTCTGTGTGTGGTTGGCATATGTACATCTGTATATGCGGCTAAACTAGTTTTGGCATGGAAACACCAAATGGCTATGGCCGTTCTATATGACAAAGTAGCTCTAGTGCTCATCATTCATATCTTATAGGTTAACCAAAAGAGTGACACATATGTCTTGCCTCGTTGACAATCCCCATCTTTACAGTTTGACTATGATGATTGGTTGGCTGCTGAGTGTGGATCTCCACCCTCTGAAGAATGGAGAAAGCAAATGTATTTTATCTCAAGAAAGAATAAAAAGACTCAGCCCGAGACATATCGTGACCAGTGGGATGATGATGACTTGATCATTGAAGCTCATGAAGACTTTGTAAAATATATTCCTGAAATAGTTCAAGCACAGAAGCTTTACAGATGATTTTTCGGGAGAACTGGCATGCAATATGCTTGAATTGTTTTTTTTTTTAATTGTTACAGGAAAATGTAGCTCAATAAATTGAGAAGTATAGATACAACTGGATATTCCTCTATTAATTTCAATTGTAACTCTGCCGTCAAAATACATTGCAAGTCATACAGGCTATTTATGCTTGTACACTTATTCAATAAGATTCTGGTGATTTCCCAGTTCCTTCTCAGATAACCGAATATAATGTATCAGGACATGAAAAACAAAAACAAGATAGATTAAACAGAGGTTTACATATTTATTTGGGGACAATTTGATGCTCAAGTGCAATTACAAAACTAATGTGGCCTTGCCTAGTCATGTAACTTGATAAAGACATCTGTCTAGGGATCAAGGGGACAATATACCAAGTCATGGATAAAAGTCATAAAACAGGTGATGAAATATCTCAACCATTCTCAAATTTTCATTTTCCCGCTGAATGGTCACATTTGCTCTGAAACCTGTTTGATTTAGAAAAATAACTACTGCTTTATAACATACGAAATAGAAAGATACCTGGGAAAAAGGAATGACTAATAGAAGTAGCTTAACATGTTTGCTTTAATTAAAGGATAAATAATCTCAATTAATTAACACAGTAGGTATCCCGTAAATAATTGAGGTGCGTGTAAGCTGGTTCGGACACCACGATTATAAAAACAAAAGTAACACATAGATTAAACTCAAAATAATAGGAAAAGAAAACTCTATGTATGCAAGTTAGCTTAACGCCGAGATAGACGAGTGGGTAGGTGGGTTAGGTGAATCTCTCGCGCATTCGCTTTTATTTACACATTTTAAATTGTACACTCAAAAAGGAAGAGAGGAATATATAACATGGTTACTTGGACTGTTTCAAAATTCTTTTGGTTTGATATTTAAAATGCTTCAAAATTAAATTTGTATACATTTGTACAGTTGCTTTCAACTATGATTTCAATTATATTTTTCATTTTGTGTGGAGCTACTTGTATGCATTCATAGAGGTAACTAATAAGCAAATTAGTGCGAAAATTGATAGATACCTAAAAAGAAAGTGAGTACTCCTAACATGTCGGAAAGACGGCAAGTCATGTTAGGCCAAACAAAGCAGGCACAAAATAGTTAAATACTCGTCTTAACACCCGATGTTTACGGTGGGTGTACAAACGACCGACAAACCGCACCAAATTAATAATTTGAATCAAATCGAGGAAAAAAATTCGATTATGATTTGGTTTGATTTGGTTTGGTGATGGTAAAAAACCCCGACCATAATTGATTTGGTTTGGTTTTAACTAAAAAAAAGTCAAACTAAAACCAAACCAACCCGACATTACATGTATAAACTTTTACTTTTTGAATGCTATAATAAATTTTATAGTCCATAAATATTAGTAACTCAAATAAACCTCAAACCAAAATCAAATCAATATTAATACTAATAAAAGACATTCAATTAAATTGTTGTAGGAATGACAATAGTGTTGGATGTCTATTTTTTTAGTTTTTCATGGTTCAGATAAAATGCACAATTTTTTTTAGAGAAACTTTCAGAAACCACTATGTTTTAGTGGTTATTAGCTAGTTGTAGCTACCATTTACTATATTACTTCCTATAGCTATGTTTTCAGGTTTTTAGAGTGTATTCGGTGTATTTAAGCTACTGTATTCATGAATACAATAGCATTTCTAGGCGTGAAACAAGGGATTACAGCTAGACAGATTTTTGTATTCGAGTGTATCTGATTGTATTCATGGCGTGAAACATGGGATTACAGCTGGACAGATTATCGTATTCGACTGTATTCACGGCGTAAAACTGGGGATTACACTGTTTTTAAACGGAAAGTGAATCAATTAACATAATAGACTCCTAATATAACTCAACAAACTCAATTATAACACACAAATTTTGTATTTCCAGTTATAAAAAAGATTCTCAACCGAAAAACACCCCAAAACATAGCAATCTTCAGAGAAATTATATAATACATATGAATACATAAATTATATTAATTAAAAAAAATATGAATACATTAATGGCATATAGCGAGACAGTGAATACAGTGAAATACATAGAATACATCGGGATATATTGAAATACAATAAAAAAAAAGACAGTGAATACAATGAAATATATGGAATGCAGCGAGATACAATGAAAAAAAAGACAATGAATACAATGAAATACATGAAAATACAGCGTGATACATTGAAATATATTAACAGAAAATTCAAGTTGCTCAGCCCCAAACTCCGCCGTCTTTGTTCAAGAAGAAACCATAATTTTCGGCGAATCCGTCGTCGACGTCAGAAGTGGAGCGCCGCCGTCGAGCATGATAATCTTTATAGAGCTTCGCCTAAACAAGCTAGATTGAGGATTCGAAATCAGAGAAGGATAGGTTTGTTGATGCGTTGAATTCCGGCCCGATTCATGCGTCTCCGCCGGCGGGAGCTGTTGCGTCGCCGACTGTTCACGACGAAAACCCAAATTGTAAATTTAAAAAAAAAACACAAAGTATGTAAGAATGACAAGACATCAAGTACCCTATTCGCTACAGCACGAAGAACATTCATTCAACAAGCAGTCAAGTGACAAAAATCCCAGAAAACTTAAAAGGGTTTAATGAAAATAATCTAAAACAATCAACATCGGAAGCAGATCTTAAATAAAAGGAAGAAGAAGAAGAAGAAACATACTGGAGTTGGCCATGGAGATTTCGTTGCCTTCACTAGGGTCAAGCCAGAGAGGCAGCATATTTTATGAGAGAGAGGGCATCGTATTTTATGGCTTAAGGGTAGGAGGTGACCATAAATAGATATTTGGCTATAAAAATCAAAAGGTAGTTATAGAATATAATTTTTTAAAATGGTATTTATTTAAAATAAATAAGGTATCAACCTTTGCTATAGGAGGTAACTAATCATGTAAAAATAGTACTTGTTAGTCGTACTTATTTTAACAACTTAATAATTTTAGATTATGCTTATTTTCATTATGGCTTATTAATTATATTTGTTTTATGCGATTTTATTATCATTATTATTGAATATTTTAGTACAATGCCATATCTCTTATTTTATGTTATTTTCTTGAAAAATACCTTATATAGTTATGTCTTACTAGGATCAAAGAAATATGTGGAGCACAAATTCTATGTTTTGTGCTATGAAGATTTTATGAGGAAAAACCCGAAAACCAGAGATTAAAAAATCCGACTTTTATTGGTTTGGTTTGGATTTAATAACCCGACACAATTGATTAATTTGGTAATTGAAAAATCCGAACCAACCCGACTACACCAAAAGATCAATTGGCTATAAGCTAAAAGTTTTAACAAGAAAATTCTAAGGAACGTAAATCTGTGCACTCAGGTAAATAAATCTTCTGGAAAAGGGCCAAATATATTCCTTTACTTTTAAATATTGTTTACATCTACACTTTGTTATATTATCTGGTTGTTTGAGCCCCTACCACTATACTTTGCTTCAAAAATACCCTTATTTGGACGAAGTGACACGTGGCAGCTCCTCATTAAAAGACCCACCCCCAATTTAAAAAATCCATCCAATACTAACCGCCAAGTTAAGACCCGTAACCCGAACACTTAAAAAAATACCCTGACAATATATTTTTCTCTATAAAACATTTTCATGAAGAGTCGTGTCAGATCAGAGAAAGTCATGCACCTACTCTAATAAATTTATTTTCTATTGAAAAATTTCTCATACCTTGCTTCTGAGTAGGGGTGTACAAACCGAACCGGAAAATCGCACCAAACCGAAAAGTCAAACCAAACGGATTAAAAAATCTGATAAGGTTTGGTTTTCTTTGACTTGGTATTGAATAAAAAATCGAACCAAACCGACGTATTAATATATAATTTTTATATATACTTTTAAGACTTTTTATAGAATTTTCTTTAAAAATATCTAGAAATATTTGCGATTCTCTTATGAGATGTAATATTTAGTTAAATATGAAGTGCTTCATATTTATTAACTTTAAATAATGGGTAGTAGGATCACTTTCTTATCAAGTGTTAGTGAAATGTGTCAATTTCTTTGTTCACCATATTCATATGTCAAAATCTATTAAGTTCTTATATCTTTTTTGAATTTTAAATTGTATTTCGATAATTTAAAATTAAATAGAACATATGATTATATAGGTTCATAATTATTTTATGTCTAATTATTAAATTCGGTTAACTTTGAAAGTACACATCAACGTAAAACTATTGTTAGACGATTAAAAAATAACTATCATGTGTTACTAAGAAAATTCTTTCATAAGAATATTTTAATAGATCATATATTTGTCAATTTTTTTAATTTTTACAAAATATATATTTACTTATAAAAGACTTAACAAAATAAGATTGAAATAATACTCACACAAAAAAGAAAATCCGAAAAACCGACAAAACCAAACCACTCCAAACCGATATAGTTGGTTTGGTTTGGTTTTGATAAAAATCGAACCAACCCGATCCATGTACACACCTGTCACGACCCCGGTTCGCCCTCCGTGAACCATCGTGACGGCACCTAGTCTCTTGATCACTGCCAACTCCGCACTACTAAAAAGTAGCAAGAGAGGGTCGCAATAGCTTTTACCCGATTTTGGGTCGGGATCGAATCCACAGAGAGCTAGGATTGGAAACGAGTATCTATTTAGCTTAGGATTGCGTGTGTGCTCTTAATTGGTCTTCTATTCATTTTTGGGATTTCTCTATATTATACTATTATCAACCACTAATTATAAATGCAGCTAGATTATGCTAAACGAGAATTGCTACAAGTTGTATCTAATGGTTTAAAAAGGCACTAGGGCAGTGACCTTCACCTAGGTAGCTAATTGACGGGTAATTGCATCTAACGCTCGATTGACATGATTGGGGAAATATGTTATAACCGTTGCTCAATACTACCCACCCTACACCTCTCGGTAGAAAGAATGGTTTTGCCCAATTGACTCTCTCGAGACCAATTGGGTATGCATATTTGCCCGAGCAACTAGGGTTCAAGTCGGGCAATTACTCTCTCGAGGTTTAACCCTTTTATTGGGACTATCAAATCTCTTGAGTCCATCCCAATTCCTTGTTGAGTCAATTTTGGAGACTTAGGCTCTCTTTCTCAAGAAGAGCCCAAGTCTACTAAGCACAAACTAGTGTTTGCAACCACTAATTCATAAA